CTGCTGAACAAGTTCTTGAGGTCCACTTTTAGAGTTAACCGGGTGCTCTGCATCCCGCATTTCCAGACATGTGAAATTCAATATTGCGTGATGTCTGGACAGCATTCTCGCGATGGGGCGATACCCGTCTCTGCTTTCGATGTTGTAATAACCTGCCGTGAGCTCAGCAGCATGACTATCAGATTTGTACCACCAGTGAATCCCGGAAACCTGACAACGAAAAACGTAATCTGAATCATCAATCTTGATTCTGCAATGTCTTATGTCTTGTTTCTTGGAATTGTTGATGAGACAAGATCAGTTATATACTTTTGCTGCTAACTTGAGTTCACACCCAAGAAACACTTTGTTGGCTTCTGACAGGATCTGATCGCCATGAATGAGTAACTTGCTCGAGTACCAAGTCAAGAAGAACTTTCCTTCTTCCCTAAGGTACGCCCCCCCGTCTGCCTTGAAAAATCCGGTTTCCTCTGGCGTGTCGTTGTATTTTCCTGCAGTTTCTGGAAGTTTCCATTCTGGATGACCGATTCTTGTCACCTCTTCCTCAAAGTCTGCTCTTAGATACTTGTCATAACACTGAAGAAATACTCGTAGCTCTTCGTGTTAGACCTGGAGATGGAGTCCATGTATACACACACACATTGTCGAAATTCTCTACACGGAACTTGTTTTCTTACTTGAAATTCTCCAATGCCCGGGAAAACCCAACCTTGGGTTTCAGTGTAAGAAGGGTATCTGAGCTCTCCAGCTGGACCAAGACCTACTTCGATGTCTATTATAAGTCCAGAATCAATAAAATCTGCCATATTATCCCTAAAGCTCTTCATGTAGTCTCTGTACATCTAAAAAGCTAAAATGATCAGTTCAGTACAAAGGCATAACAAACAGAAACAGAGATACACAGCTTTAAGACATTTACCTCAAGAGCTGTTCTTCCATGGAAGATAGGCAAGTTATCCACAGAAAGAGACAGACACTCCTTGTTTCTGTTACCAGTCCTGTTTGTATAGAAGATGTCGGGATTTGAATCTCCGATTTCGAGTACCCATCTCGGGAGAGGGATGGTAACGTCGTCCCCTACATTGCCTCCGCATCTATGGAACGACATTATGGTTTGAACTTTCAGTCCACATCTTCTTACTGTCTGAAACAAGCTTCTATAAGCATTCCATTCATATAGCTTAGGCCCTTTTGATTCCACAATTCCCCACCACACATCTACCATTATCCCATCCACTTGAGCTGATTTCAACTTCTTGAGCTGTTTCTCGAGCTTTGATTCATCTTCTAGAAGGTTATCGTTCGTGATTACACCGAGCTGTTAAAGTTTGTAGAAAATAAGTAAAAGGGCAGAGAGAAAACAGATTCAGGAACATGAACAGAGGAAAAAAACAGAGTAACACTGACATACCGGGAGCATTACATAGACAGGAACATAGTTTGCCAACATGAACCCGGGAAAATCCGAATCTCTTGCCTGCATTTCTGTGTCAGTAACTCAGAGATTCACCAAAACACCATTGATGTAAAAAGACGGAAACAATCAAGCTGGAAATCATTGGTCACCTCTGATTCTGCAGTGGAAGAAACTTCTTCAGAAGCATTGGTTGCTTGAGGAGGTACTGTGATTTTTCCTTCCCTGACTCTGAATCTCCATCGTTGTTGTGACCATTTCACTCGCCTTGCTTCTCGGGCTCGGAATAAATCAGGAATTCCGACGTGGGAGTTTCTTCCTGAGATTGATAATCCGCCATGGGAAGAGTACAATAAACTTGTCATGGTGGCTTGCGACTTAAGGAACAACCAACACACATCAATGGAGGATCAATGGAGTTTCTTATTTTCTCCCCCATCCTCTGTGTTATCTACAAAACGTGGCCAACATTTGTCTTCCAAGATATGAACTTTTCGCTTTCCAATTTTTTGTATTTTCCTTGAGAAAGAAACAACAAAACTGATGATGAAGGAATTGACCCATCTGAATTAAACCAGTGATTAATGTCTTAATTTATTGGTACAGGAACAGAAAAGACAAGCAATTCACCATTTACTCTAGCAAGCAACCAATACAGATACACAGAAAGAACCAGAGTTCAATAGGTTTGATCGATCTAAATACTCAAAGCGAGACAATCACTAGAAGAAGACAGCAACAATAGCAAACGCATCCCTCATATACAGAACCAAACAGCACATTCTCGATCTTCAGACAAAAGAAATCTGTCTGAAAAAACACCCAGTTCATCAAAACAAGTGAATCACCATAATCACGAACGCGATTCCGAATCCAAGAACAAGGGTCTTCGGGGAAGCCGAGGAATCGGCGGAAGGAGGCAGATCGGTGGAGGAAGGGAAGTTTCCGACGGTCTTGGACGAAGTGGTGCTCGGAGATCCCGGAAACGACGGCAGGGACGTCACCGCCGGCGAAGATCTCGGCGAGAGTTCCGGGATGAGAGGCAGAGAAGAAGAGGAGGAAGAAGCTCCGGGAATTGGCGTGGAAGATGGAGAGAGGACAGGGACAGGGACAACTCCCGCGGGGTTGAGAGGCAACAGAGGCTGTGGAGACACGACAGAGAGTAATGTGGATGGCGGCGACGCGATTGGAGGGAGAATCGCGTTTCCTGCGTTTGGAAGCGGTTGCGGAGACGCGTTTGGAAGCGGAGTAACTGCGTTTGCGGTTGGGAGGACGTTCACCTCGAGCTTCATCCCTTGAGTGCAGTGTCCGGGCATCCCACAAATGAAGTACCTGTTTCAACAACAATGAATATTCGCATTTTTATATCTTATAATTATGTAAACCCAAAGTCGTATGCATATATATATATATATATATTTATGTTATAATTCAATAAAAATATGTAACACGAACCTTTTTCCAGGAGAAGTTAGGGGAACAACGGTGTTGCCATTGGAGAACGTCACGAGCGGTTTAATCGCTTGGCAATTGTCGAATTCGGGTTTGGAAACTTCAACCACGTCGTGAAACGCAGATGGGTATGCAAAAACTGTGACAAAAAAAAGTATAATTACATATCATAGAGTGAATTATAAAATATAACAAGGATCTTAAAAGAATAATGAATAAAAATGGTTTTGGTCTAACCAAGATTGTCGCCGACAACAAACGTTTGTGAGGCAGACCATGTCCGAAGATCAGAGCCCATGGTCCAGCCACTGGGGCCACCGATGGTGTGGTCCGTCGCAATGGCTAAGCCGAAGAGCGCAGTGGCCACGACGAGGGCCGACAACATTTTTCCGGATGCCATTTTTCTTGGGTTGATTCACAGTTTGAGATATGAGAGATGATTCTTGTTTGCTGCGATTTGTGATTTCCTGCTGTGTGCATGTGTGTATATATATAGTGGTAGGAGTATAATGACGACGGGAATCTTTTTTTTTTTGGGTTGGAGTTAGTAGTAATGTTATTATACACACTTAAATGTTGTATTTGTTGGGAGTTAGTACATATGCACGGCTCCATGCTGGATCTAGTAGAAGCTAACAATTTATATTCAATAACATGATTAGTTATTATTATTATTATTAAATGGTTCCTAAACATGTTCTTGGTCCACTGCAAACATATAGTTCGGTTGCACCTAAACCTTTTGTTCCTCAAGTTCTTTCGCTTTACAGCTTTTGCAAATTACATTATTTTTCACAAATCTGTAAGAAACTCGTACATTTTTTTTTTGTAAGAATATAAGCCCTTGGGAGTTTGGACATCCTAATACAACAAAACAGACAACATTTTATACACTCTGGTTACTTCCAACAAGTAATTTCTCGGCCTCGGCCTCGTTCCCGTTCTCACGGCCATGAAGATGGGAAGTACGATGGGGTTTGTTGACAAGGTTCCACTCTTTCTCGATCCGGAAAAACGCCCATTGGAACCGCCTGAAAATCTCCAGGGCCGTGATGACGAACACTGTTATGTAATTGTTCCGTAGGTGAGACGACAGCTTGTACGTCCACGTCCCACGTAGTATCAGATTGCTTCCGATAACCCACGCATATACCTGCGCACGCACGTACATCGCAACCGTTAAGAATATGTCCGAGTCCGACCCCTTTTGAAATTCAAACCGTGTTCGTATGGAAGTGTTTTCATACATTTTAACACATAAATTTTCGAGAGTTGCAAGAGATTTTTTGTTTTCCTCTTACCCATCTGCGTCTGTGTAAAAGACGAGAGCAAAGATTCGGTTTGCTGAATCTGAAAACCCGGGTAAAGACGCTACAGATAAAGAAAAATGTTAGAACTTTTAACTTCACAAAAAAAAACACATTCACAGAAATGAAAGATTTAGCAATGGCAATGAAACACGCTTATAATCGATCGAATTCGACGCCAAGGATGATTATCAGACGATAGCTTGTAAATATTATGAAGTTTGTCAAACATTACCTTAGATCCCAATCGCGTAGAACATCCCAAAAGAAGGAGAAGAACGTGTTAGCGATGCCGAAGAGGATCCAGGCAGGCTGAACAATGTATGTCCATGTATAAGGAGTGACATGGTATTTCAGTGCCGACAGGAAAATCACAGGCACCGCCGTCAAATATTTCGCAGCTGAAAAGAAAGCAGATCTCTTAGACATCCGGAGTTTTTTTTTCTTTTTGGTGGGTACGAATATGAAACGAAAAAGAAAGTTACCGTTCCAGATGTTGGTAACATCTCTGCTATCTTTGTACTGACGGACGCATTGGAACAGCCGGAAAAGATAAGGCAACACAAGAACCAACGGAATGGCAACGGAATGACTGCCGCAAACCGAGTCCGCTTCAAACCACGCTATGGTGGCTACCTAAATTCATTTCAGTGAAATCTCTCAATAACCAAATGTACGATAAAAAAGGGTATTCTCTTCTTCGGTTTCTTCATTACCTGAATAAAGAAAAGGTCTTGAGAAAAAGAAAATACGGTATTTCGCAGTAAATCAGCCGTGCACGATAAATGGTATAGATAGTATGAATGTATCACTGACCTGATGATGGACCATTCTACACATTGAACGCTCCAAATCGGAGAAGACCTGCAACAACAACAACAATTTCAGGTATAAAAATCGGTTTAGATCCTCTTGATTCAGGTCTTGGATTTTCCAGATGGAGGAAAACCCGAGCATATAAGCAGCAATCTATCAACGTTCGTTCAAGGAAGGTGGGTACCTTTGACATAGAAGTCAGGAAATCAGCCAAAAAGAAGTCAGAGAATGCCACTGCCTGTTTACAACACCGTACAAGAATGAAGTCAGTGTTGGCTATCAAAAGCTTTTACGGGTTGACGAAATTCGTAAATCGATGGGAAAGGCTCGTAACCTGCATCGGGAAAACTATCCGCCAAACTGTCCATAGCAAGTAGTGGCGAGACGAGGCATAGAAGATACCGAAAGGTAATATCAGAATCAACACAGCCAAGCAATACAAAAGGACCTGCAGCACCATGCATCAGTCGTCAGCAAACCGCAACGATTACTCGGAAAATGGAGTATAAAATAGATTGTATGAAAAAATAAACCAAGAACCAGAAGCTCTTTGCAACTGAAGAGCAGATGCATCTATTACACTGGTTGCAGTGCAGCCAATGATACTTCTCCATGCGAGTATAGGTGCAGATACGCAGTCATGCTCGTCAATATGATTATTGTCATCCACCTTGCACACTGTGACAAACGGTGTGTATATATATGTATTCAAATTAACAGTCACATAATACATGAAAATGTAGAAATGCTTCTCGAGCATTTTTTATATCATACCTGCCATATTTCTGTGTGAGTAAGATGATCAGAACCCAGACAAAAGACTGCGGCATAATCAACTCCAGACCGTGTAAAAACCCACAGATTAACACCCCAGAGCCAGACCATCATTGTCTGAAGCATGAGAAGAAGAGCACATTTATAACGGAATGCAGACAAAGGCGGTGCAAATATAAACGTATCACATCGGGAAAGTAGTACTAACTTACCACGAGGAGGAGAGGGTTATAATACAAAAACGCCTCGTAGAAAAACAGATCTCGTAGGTCTGAACTCATCGACATTACAGATCCCCATCCGATCTGCAAGTTTTATATGATCAGGTATTGTTAAGATTGAAAATGACTGCAGCAAACTGGAATCGAAATCCATTTGCTACCAAAGATCTACCTTGCCACAAATGCATAGACCCGCAAAATAAAGAACAACCTGGAGATTCAGGATATCGGACCTCAATCAGTAGGTTAGATGACTTCTTGTTTAAAAAAAGGAACAAGAATGACAATAATGTATGAAAAAACATCAACAGATAGATGAGAAAACCTTGAGGCTCCATAGCAGAACTGGACCTTGGATCCTTGCAAGAACACCATGCATTGTATTTGTTGTGCCCTTCAAGTCATTTTCCCCTGTGGAATGCGGTAAACCATCCGCAACGGCGTGTTCTGAATCACCACCAGCTAGAATTTTCTCTTCTTCAATCGTTATGCAGATGGAGAAAAAGAATCGAAAGACCACGAAAAAACCTTTATTACCAAGATCTGCGATGATGGGTCTGTGTCCAGATTTGCGCAAATGCACAGGCAGAGAGAAGATACCCCCGAACATAGACGCCAATATCAGATGGTATATGGCAATGCCTTCTACATACCAACACTTAAATAGATCATTTCCCACGATATCATGCGTTTGAACTTGATAGATTACTCAATCTTGCATGCTCTTTCTTGGCTAAACGAAACAATCACAGCTCAAAAAGCCAGCAAACGAACTTAAAGAAATCACAAGCTGTTAACTATTAGATGATAAATCGTATAAAAGTGAAGTGATTTCAGAGGATAAGTCAAATTACACCTCCCAGAACAGGAAATTGTCACGAAGACCTCTTCACACTGCTCCACCTCAAAAGTTCGCATGCCCTGGATTCCCAAATCAATAGCAAATCCGAGGAAACTGTAAAGCAAACCCAAAATCAAGCAAACCCCATTTTTGGAAAAATTTACAGCGCCCTAGAATCAATCGGAACAACGAAAATCGATGGCTAATAGAAGCTGAGTGATCATCCAATAAAAATATATGGGGAGAATCTCAACCCCACTTTCGCGGAAAATAAAAGAGACCCACATCACGAAATTGCATTTGAAACGAATAGAAAGCTCTGTTTTTTTTCTCCGGAAAAAGGGATGAAACCCACATTGCGAAGTTCGAATCGAGATATTACCATCCAATGTTGAATTCGTGAGAAATGGATAAACTTTAGGCAATTTCTCCGTAAAATATCAAGCTTTATCCAAAATCTTCGCGGACCCAGAAAACGGAAGAGGAAATAGCAAATACTGGCCAGTAAAGAAATGGAAGAATAGCGAACGCAAGAACGAGATTACGGTGGTGAACGGGGAAGAAAGAAAACGATTGTTTTAATTTTTTTTAATTAATTTTATTGTCTGTTAATTGATGAAACTATTCTCTAGGGTTCATGATATGTCATAATTAATAAAATATGGTGTCCACGGATGGTCGACGGTTCTATGCGTTCACTCTTAAATTGAATAATGCAATTTTTTTCGGAATATTCTTTATATTAATATAAATAAAATTTTCAAAGATTGGTATAAAACTGATAATACATAATTTTAATATTTTATGGAAATCTGATATAAATTACTGTATATTTTTAAGGCAGTAAATCGTATGTTATTTTCGGATTACTATTTCAATTATTATGCTAGATAACAAGGCAAATTAATTTAGAAAACTTATTGATAGTGTATAAAAGCATAGAAAAAATTCCTCTCCCGACTTTTGGCACCGATTAGCCTTAAATCATACAATATATTTTTTTTGTTAAAACCATACAATATATTTGCTGTGACCCTCGTAATATACGTATTCTAATTCGTTATAGAATTGACCTTTTCAAAATATTTTAATGCTATATATATATATATATTATTCATTCTATTTTTCTTTGGGTTTTTGGGGTCAAAGAGAATAGGATAATGTTATAAAAAAAGTATCTTAAACCAATAATGAACAGATGTCAGTTTACAAATTGATTTTTAGGTCTCTCTCTCTCTAACAATCTCGATGTTCAAAGCTCGAAATCCGCAATAAATTCCATATAAATTATTCTGCAATTTCGTCACGTGTCAATCGGATCCTTACAAGCAACTTTCAACCGTGGGGAAAATATCTTGCCGCCGATAAGGGTGTCAGTTTTATCGTAAACAGATGCCCCTCTTTCTTCACTTTATTTACTGTTCCTTGCAATCACCCAGGCAGTGAAAAAAAAACACAACAGAACTCCCGAACTGTACGGCCCAACAACCGAATCTCAATTCAACACGTGACGAAAATCATACATAGTAACCTCCGAAGGAGACAACCATAAATAAGAAGCATGGAAAACGTTTTTTTTACAAATCTCAAAGCTGCGTGCGCTATTGAGTTTCTCTCTCTCTTTTTTCTTACATGTTTTTTCTCATCAAAATTCTTCCTTCCTCTCTTTCATCTCAAGCTTTTAACGGATTCTGAGTCCTTCTGCTAAATTTATTTGTTTCTGATTCATTTTCCGGTCAGAAGTTTTACCGTTAATTTCCAGTTCTGGTGGGTGGTGGCCGACAAGTGACACAACATATATATATATATATATATATATATGTGTTCGGCTGACGATCTCTTATACAGAATGGAAACTGTATGCGATCACTGCAGGATCAGAGGAGCCATGGCTTATTCCGAGGCTCTCACTGCATGGCTTTGCCTTCAATGCGACTACGCGATCCGATCCGGCCGTGAGCGTTTGGAAACGGGCTCGTGCTTCTGCCAAGGTTGCGTCTGGTACGGTAGCTGTTTGAGGACGAGTCACCAGTTGCAGATACCGAGTCCTTATCCGAGTTGTTCCTCCTTCTTTCAGTCGCCCTTCGGTTCTTTACCATTGAACGAGGGTTTCAGCCCGGTTTTCGGTTTGGATCCATCTTCCATTCCGTTCCATGATCTTGATTACACGTCGAAATGCAGAGATCGGAATGTGTCTTCGGATTCGGATAACGTGGATATGAGCATGGTAAGTATGATCTAAGCTTATAACTGTTTGATTGATTAAAGCTCTAATGATATGCATAATCATCTTTATTTTATTGCACGTACATATATACAGAATCATGCAGGGACAAAAGTTTACGAGACGAGAGCGGTGGGAGATACGTGGGAAGGAGTTAACATGGACGATGTGGAGTCGTATTTCGAAGACGGTGACAATACGTTAGAGCTGCAAGAGCTATTCACAGGGCCAGATTCTATCCTTACAGACCCATTGATCGATGAGATCATAAAATTCTCGGTGAGACATCGACCGATGTAGTTTTGTAAATCATCGAATAATCCTCGTATCTGAATGTTTCGATCTTTGTAATTAACGTACGGTTTCGTTATATAACTGTTCTCTCAGGCAACATCATCATCATCCTCATCATCATCGCCATCACCTCCACCACCTTCTCAGATCTTCAACTCAACAGTAGAAGATGCCAATCCAATAGAAGCCCACTGGGAATTAGGGTTTTCACAGCCAAACGTCTCGGGTGAAACAGGCAAAGCTAACGTAATTTCTCCGTTACCGACGACGCCATTGCCATTGGAGCTTAACCTCGAAGTGGGTTACGACAGGAGAGCGAGGGAGGAAGCAAAGAAGAGATACTACGCGAAGAGGGAGATACGAATGTACGTATTCGACGACATTAGAAAATAAAAAATAAAAAATAATTATCATTTGGGGAAAATGAATCCGAACTTGGAGTATCTTTTCTTGATTGCAGGTACGGTAAGCAGATTCGATATGAATGTCGGAAAACCAGAGCCGACAAGAGAAGACGTATAAGAGGCAGGTTCGTGAAAGATGGCGAGGAATATGACTACGATCCACAAATAAAAAAGGCAGAGCGTTTTGCATGATGAAGCTTTCATGAAGAAACACAGATCCAAGCAAAATAAATGATTTAATTACGTGCCTTTTTGTTATAATTATTTTGTACATATTATTATTACGTGTTTTTTCAAATTCCAACGTGGGTACCGTTTATAAATTGCTTGTTCTGATTCATGATGCAGATATGAAAATGAAAATAAAAAGTGAAAATGGGTATTAATATACTTCAGTACTTGTTATGTATGTATATATAATACAGACATATATATAGCTAGATAAATGGTGACATGGAAATGTTATTCATATTATCTATTAATATATAATGATGAAAGCAAGATTCCACGATCCTATTGCTCGGATATCGTGACGTTGCAACACATGCTAAAGCACCGAAGCTTACGCTTACTTGCTATTCCTTCAATACAATTTGCCAAACTATATATTATATCTATATATATAATATATATATATATATATAGTATGAAGTATGAACTATAACATGTTTTTATCGTCGTTCAACCTACCATTACAATTATATTTTTTAACAGATTTAAATGGTATTTAAAGTAAACAATTAAAAATTACGAATATTCATTCCCCCGTCAATTGTATACCGATATGGCAATATCATCGGGCATATAGTAAATGATATCTGATTTCCAAATCTAGGAATCAGGGGAGTTTTACTATACCATTGTATATGGAGAAACTACTCATTAATTTATTAAAGATATATATATAATCGTGATGTTGCCCACTTATTTGAGCATAGTCAACGTCGCAATGAATTTTATTCCGTAAAAAGAAGACGACTTTATATATAAAAAAACATTTAGGAGCCGATTTTCAAAATCCTCTGAAACTATTCAGTTACGGACAAGAAAAAAATTTGGAATCTGTATATTACAATACTATTTTGTTAAAAAATATATATTTTAATATATGAAATAGTTATGTCCTCTGTCGTCAATTATCTATGGTAATAAAATCCACAATTGTCGGCTCGTTTGTTAATCCTTGTCACCAAACACCTAGATATATTATTACTTTATTCACAAGCCAAGAACCGTAGGATTTCTTTTTTAAAAAAAATAATATCATTTGATAATTAATTAATTCATAAGATTTTTTTGGATAAACTAAGTAGCGATTCAATACCTTTTAAACCTTGAAAACGAGATTAGGCTGTGCGATGAACCATATGCGTTACCTTCCTCGACTTTTAAATAATACCTTCGTCTGTTTCGATAATACCAGTTTCTTTGGTCCACCATATATTTTCAGCCGCCAGATTCCAACAATTTACCATTTCTGCCACTCTCTCTCTCCCATTCCCCGTGAATCCCCTCGCAAGACGTCTCCGATGGAGCCGGCGCAACCGTCGCCGGAACCTGATGTTCCTTCCGGAGAGGACTTTGTTCACATCGATGATCCCAGGCCTGACGCCGATGTTTCGTTGAGCGACAGCATAGTGAATGTGGAGAAGGAGGAGCTGCTACAGGAGGCGGAGGAAGAGAAAGGCGAAGACAGCGACGGAGACTCATCTTCCTCGTCCTCCTCCTCCGATTCCGGGATTAGTGGTGGCGATGCTCTTGGTGTTGGTGGTGGCGATGATATCGCCGGCGGAGTCGATGATGGAGGCGAGCGTCGATCGCAGGCGGAGAAGGTGGAGTTGCCGGAAGAACTGGCGAGGAGCGTCATGGTTTTAACATGTGAGTCCACGGCGGAGGGCGGATCTTGTGATGTCTACTTGGTTGGGACTGCTCATGTATCGCAGGTATGATGATCGCTTCGATTCATGTGGTTCTGGTAAGAGAGATTTTCGAATAGATTGTACATGAATGAAATTAGGATTGATAATCATTGCATGATTACGGGATTTCTGATTGTATCATTCTAAAAATCGTTGGCGAAAGATGAAACTGGAATTGGAACTTGAATTCTTCGCTTTTGGGGTATAAGCTTCAGGATGGGTTTATTTATGCCAGATGAGTTGCTGAAACGGAAATTAGGTTCGGATTCTGTCAGGAGGTTTGAAATTCTAGGGTTACAGGTTAGAAATGCAGCTGAAGAATTGCAAAATTCAGGAAGTTAGGATTAGAACGTAGGATCACTGTTTCGATCTCAAAGCCAGGTTTCAAATTCCGCAGGAAGTTTGAGAGCCATAGGATCACTGTTTATGCTCTCTTTTTTTTTTCTTTTTTGCCGGAGCTTCGTTGTCCACTTTTCTTTCACCAGGTTGACAAATTGACTTATGGTATATGATTTTGTATAGACTGAAGAATCTGTTTGCCTACTAGGTTCCTCGATGGAACTTTAATGCAATAGCATTCTTATTCAATATTGAACACATGATTTTTTTCAAGGATTGAGCGATGAATAGCCATGTAAGTCTTTGCATTTGTTGTTACAGGATTCCTGCCGAGAAGTTGAAGCGGTAGTCAGACTCTTGAAACCGCAGGTTCTCCAATATTCATTCTAGACTAAAGTTTCATATCCTCAAGTATATGTGTACAGTTCTAAGTGTTTGGATGATGATTACAGGTCGTTTTCTTGGAATTGTGTTCAAGCCGATTGTCTATTCTCAAACCACAAACTTTGAAGGTCCGATTCTCATAATTCTGATTCCTTTTCTTCTTATTCGTCAACATTTGACCATTTTTAGTCATTTAGCATTGTGTCAATAATGGCGTCAATGATGCAATGCTAAATGACTATGAACTCGTATGACACACTAGCTTTATGTTGTCTACTGGAAGAGTTTGTCTGGATAATACAATTGACTTCTTTTCGACGGTTCTCCTTGTTAATGTGATCTTCATTACTAAATCTCGAGACAAAGTTTTTTTTCTATCTAGATCAAACATGTTTCAAGCTCATCCATTCCTTTTGATTGTTCTGCAAAGTTACAAACTCTTGGATTTCCAGGTTCCAACCATGGCAGAAATGATAGATATGTGGAAGAAGAAACACAACGCTTTTGGAATAATGTACAGCTGGTTTCTTGCAAAGGCATGTATCTTTAATTAAAATCTTCTTTGATGGTAGCATAACTTTCTTTACAAATGATTTACATCCTTTTCTTCTGTTAGATCGCCAGTACACTTGAGGTTTTTCCTGGTGCGGAGTTCCGTGTGGCATTTGAAGAGGCTGTGAAATACGGGGGGAAGGTGGTACTCGGTGATCGTCCAGTGCAGGTGAATGTTTTTCTGTAGTTTGGTGTTTTCCTCATAGTAAATGTGATACATCTTATCACAACGAGTTGCATGCCTAACATCATGTAGAATCTATCAAAAAGTCGGGTTTTCATTGAGAATTCATTTGATTTGGTATTTCTTGGAAACAGATCACAGTAAGAAGAACGTGGGCTATGATGCCTCTTTGGCACAAGGCAAAATTTGTGTATTCCTTGGTGTTTCAAGCTATGTTCTTACCGAGTCCTGAGGAACTTAACAAGTTGGTAAGGCTTATGTTCTTAACCGTTTAACATTATACAGTCAGAATGGGTTTGTCTTGGGTTCTAGATGCTAAGTGAGAGTATTTTGGATGACACCAGCTGAAAGTCATGGATGATGTGGATATGCTTACTCTTGTAATTCAAGAAATGAGCAAGGAATTTCCGTCTCTCATGGATACGCTTGTGCGTGAGCGTGACCAGTGAGTACTTTCTCCCCCTCTATAAATACCATGTCAGATTAGTCAAGCTCGTCAATGGGTGATAAAATTTCTAAAGGAAAATCAAAGCATTGACGGTATTGGTGTTGTTCCCCTTGCGATCTATCAGATTAGTTAAGCTTTTCACAAGATGATGAATTTCCCGAAAAGGAGTTCAGTCTTTGTACAGTGGGATATGTCATTACATTGTTGCTCTACTTACTTGGTACTTGCTAATTTCTGTACTAAAAAAAGAAATCATCTCCTAGCATCAAACTGGAATCAAAATCTCTTTTTTTTTTTTGGGTGATAGGGTTTAAATTAAATATGAAAAGTTTGACATTTCAATCTCAATTCACATCTTTTTGTTTTTTTTTTTGTTGGCATGATGTTGTGTAATGACGCAGGTACATGGCCTCGAGTTTGCTGAAAGTTGCTAGTGAGCACAGCTCGGTTGTGGCGGTTGTTGGCAAGGGACATTTGCAAGGAATCAAAGAGAACTGGAAACAACCTATAACGGTCAGTAAAATCTTCTTTTTGGATTCTCTAAAACACAAAAGAGGAGAAATCTCCCATGTTCTGACTTTAGAACATGATTTCCACCATCACTCATCATTTCATTTGTGTAACACTAAGCATAATAGCGTCATACTACCCTCTTATGCAGATGAAGGATCTGATGGAGATACCAAAGCAGAAACCATTTTTTACAGCAAAGAAGATTCTGACATCTCTTGCCGTGGCTGTTGCCGGAACCGCCATAGTTTCCGGCATTTACCTTGCAAGCAAAAGGTAGAGAGAGAGGGACTGAAGTTTCCAATGAGTGGACAAACTTGACAGAGTCGTCAAAGAGAGGCAAATACACCAAAGGATGATAACAAACGCGGTTAGTTTTTTCAGTTCTGTGAACTCTTCTTAGATGTTGCACCTCCGTTATTCCATATAGCACTGTTTACTACTTTCATACAACACAATACAGAAAACGAACGTGACCAGTCAATCCCACCTTTATTTTTTCTCACTTCATTGCCACAATCTTCCAAACCAAATCCATGCACAAACAACACATCTCGTTTTTATTCACACACAAGACCCCAAAACTCTTCACACCTTCACGCTTCCACCCCCTCAACTATTAGCAACCCCACATTGTCTCCTAACAACACCTGCCGATCCCGTCTTCACGTTGATCCGACCCATCTTCTCCATCGAATTGGCAAACTCCGTATAGAAATTTTGCAACGTCCCTTGGACGAGACCGTTGATGGCCGAAAGAGTCGTGGGGTTTGTCGTGAGAGCAGAGTCGGACTGGAAGAGACCTCGACGTTTGAGTACCAAAGTGTAGTAGCTTAGGTCGAACGTTTTTCGGCTTCCAGGATCCATTTCTACGATGGTAACGTTGTCGTTGAGGGTGGGGCATTTTCGGGACTTGAGATTGGCGGCGTATTCGCTGTCCAAAGCAGGGTCTTGGTCCCCTCGTCCCGTGAAGTTGTACAAACGGTTCGAGAACGATGAGCAGTGTGACACCCCGATCGTGTGAGCCCCTATACACACACACACACACACACATATTACATGTCTAGTCCTCGTACTTTATCAATTAGATTAGGTTATATATTTGTCATCAAGACAACTTATAATTTGCACTTATGATTGACGAATCATCGTATACCCGAATTTTGACACTGACACTTAGATACCAACTCGTGTAATCTGAAAAGCAAAGACTTTTTACTTTGGGGCCAAAATTTTGAGTTTGTAACTCACGAGTTTATACTATTTTATTCCCCACAGAATTTTAACTCTTAAAGTGTCCATTTTCTTCTTTTTTTTTTCATGTTTTTTTTTGTCATTGTTTAGTCAAATGTTTCATAAAAGGGAAAAAAAAAGGAAAATGATGACGTTAAAAATTTAGGGCAGATACCGGAAAGCAAGACCAAGTCCTTGAGATCGAGCCCTTGGTTTCCAAAGAGTCTCTGAAGAGTGGTGAAATTACTGGTCGGAGGAGGGATATTCGCCAACGCCTCCGACGCGTTGGAGATCCTCCCGTCTCTTCTCCCCGTCGGCACTCTCCAATAAGGCCCTCCCTTCATCCATTCATTGTTTTTAAAATTAAAAAAAAAATACTTTTTCTTAAAGGTTGTGGATTGTTGTCTCCTTACCGTTAGGACAACCGAGTCTCTTGCAGAAAGAGCGATGACATCTGCACAAGAGACGATTCCAGGGCATTGAGCTTCAAGCACTGCTTTGATACCGTCTATGAAGCTGAATCCTCTTAGCGTTAGGTTCGGAGCCGAGTCTCTCTCCGCGTTTCCCCTCGTCGAATTTATAAGCACCGATCCATCGCACCCCTGTATATACATGCATATGTATGCCCATGCATGCACATGATAAGGCTTGTGGAACAATGCCTGCCTTTTCTATATATATCTTAAGCGAAGGGAATATATTTGTCTATATATATCTCTAATAAGAAACATAAGAGACTTCTAGTGTTTGTTTTGACATGCTGGTCGTGGTCGGCATGGATATAATGAGATCTTATTATCATCCTCTATGTTACGTACGTACGTACGTTCATATATATATCAAGCAATCTCCTGCAGAATAGGAATCCGATAGATGGTTTTGAATTATAAATTCACGTTATAAAAACAAGAAGTAACGGAGAATTACCCGGACGAAACAGTCGTGGAAATGCATCCTGAGAAGGGCAGCGGCCAAAGAAGGAGCATTAGGAATGTGCTGTTTGACAAAGCCTTGAACGATCTCCTCGGCGTTCGGACAACTATCGGCGTAGAAGTTCATCTGCAACTGAGCTTGGACCTTTCCAACATGTCCTAAGATGACCAAAGACGCCGCAATAACAACAACAATCGCCGAATAATTTGCCCCCTTCATCTTCAATCCTCTGTCTACGGAGATTGTGTGGGTTTTTACTGTTCTTGATGTGCGTATTATTAAGAAAACGAAGTTATTTATATAGAAATTGGTTTCTGTATAAGAGGAGAGGACTATCGAGAAGTGGGCCCATCTAAGCTAACTAACATGTGCTATGATGAGTTGTTTTTTTATTAAAATAATTGTGATTATTAATTAGCTTTTTTTTTATCAATTGAATTGGCTTTTCCACAGAGAATATGAATAGAGGATTAGTTGGGCTACATGAGTTTTATAGGTGAATGTTTGGTCCTTAAATCAAGGTAGTAATGTACAAAATATTTGTATTTTGCCCACTAATTCATGGGATTTCTTTCATTGAACTCAGTCATTTGACTGTTTTTGTAATGAACTTTTTTACCTTGTTGAATATATTACGATCACTTCGTACCCAAAAAAAATATATATTTGTAGATTTTTTGTTTTGCAAATTTTGTAAAAGATTCATTAAATTTTATCTCATGTTTCCTAAAACATTAATTTTACGTGTCTTGTAACAATTATTAAGGCATTCCTCACCAATCCTTTCAACGTAACCATTCTTTCTGTATATGTCATTTAATAATTCAATATTGTTACCTATACTATATGAATAACATATTTCATAAATTACCCAATATTGAGTGATTCAACCAATAAAGAAGGGAACAAACTTTCTTCCCAATCTGATCCTCAATTGGAGAAAGACATTTATATGGATTTCTCCGATCCTCTGGTCGGACCAAAAGTTCGGTGAATTTCTGGATTATAAAAAAAACATATTTCATAGATTTGAGATTGATTTTTTATTTTAGTTTTGTCTTCATTCAAATGATCATATTGTTAATGCATTATATTTTTTTAGTAATAATAATTTCACCAAACACACGTACATGCAACCTAATCCCTAAAAAGACATGAAAAAAAATAACAAGAACTACAAAAACCCAAACAGTAACGGGCAAGATGTCCAATATTATTACTAATTCCTTAAGATAACATAATATATATATATATATATATATATATATATATATATATGATTGAGATCCTATTAATTAAAGTGTTTGGTACAATTTCTTACGACTGCGTCTCTTAGAATATTATAAATTGCTAAAAAACATTAACGATATAAGAATTTGTATACGTTTTCCTTAACTTAAAGCTAGAGTGGTGTATACACACACACACACACACATATATATATATATATATAAACCTTGTAGTGTTTGATATATTTATTCACTGATATTATACTTTAATTTTAATATCCAATTTTGTTATTTATTTATGACAATCACAAACGCATCCAAATTTGATTTACCTGCTCAAGGAAGGCCATTTCGTCACACTCTGCCACGTCGTTTCATTTCTTAATCGGTACCTAATGATTCGATATATTACTTTTATCAATGTCCGTGTGTCTAAACCAAACTAAACCGGGATTGAACACAAGACCGTACAAAACCACACAGTAACAGAACCGACCACCTCGGCAACTATTTTTTAGTTTCTATTTTGTCTCTGATCCAAATAATTTCTTCATGAAAATTTATGGTATTTGAATACATTAAAACTTTATAATTAAAAAAATTAAGAAACGAAATGCGATATCTACATTTTATGTGAGTATATATTTACATGACCGAATTACTTCTTCCCGGTATGCGATTCAGGAATTGGGCCCATATTTTTAATGGGCCTTCCAAAGCTTCCAAAATGGCCCATTTATTTAATGGGCTTACTTTTTCACAATAATGGCCCAAAGAAAAAACAACAACCGCCTTTGCAAGTTTTTTTCAAGTCCAAATATATGGCGCACATATATAAGTTATAACTAATCCACCTTTTTTTTTAAAACTATTTCTCAAATTGCGTCGAGTCCTTGTTTAGGGAAATAATGTTAAATTTATGTGTCATAATAATTATTTTGGATTTTATACAATCTAGCCAATAAAATATAGTTTCAATTTCACAAAATTCCTCCTTTTTTTTTTTACTTTTTTGGAAAAAAAATACTTCGTACTTTTGTTATTCACCCAACGGTCAGTTGGAATATCATGCAATTTAGAGAACGCAACTAACACAATATTTAAAATAAAAATAAAAAAAATAAAAATCTCATGAGTTTCTTATTTACCATTCCTCTCTTCACATGCAACACCACTTGCATTCTCTTCAACTTATTTATATATATACATACATACATATATACATATATACGTATATATATATATATATGTTTATGCCCCCAACAAAGCTTTGGGGAGATAAAAAAAAATGATGGTAACAATTGTTTCGTATGCCCAAGAATTCACCGTGGAAATCAGTGACCAAGAACCAGTCTTGGAGATCAAGAGAAGATTAGGACAGTTTCTTGAAATCCCGACATCTTCCATCACGCTCTCTGTCTCAGGCTGGGAACTTCTCGATGGCCTCGACATGGAAGATTACCCGATCATCTCTCACGGAACCAGCATCCATCTCACAGTAAATCCCATTTTCACCGCACCCCTTTACAACCTCTCCGGTAAAATCCACGTCAACGTGAAGTTCCCTTCGAAACAAATCACCGTCCAAGTGGACAGAACCGACACGGTACATAGTTGAACTTGAAGCCTCGAGTCACGGTCCAATAGTTTATGATCGATCTTGTCTTTTTTTTTTTCCTGACAGAGAGTTTTTTGATGGATGAATGAATGTAGGTTCGTAGTTTGAAGGAAAAGATTCACATAATCGACGAGGCACCGATCAAGAGGATGCAGCTGTACTGCAACGGGATTGAGCTCGAGGACGATTTTCGGAATCTATACGAATACGGAATCAAGGAATTCTCGGAGATTGTCGTGTTTCTAAAGTACGTGAGCCGTGCAAAAGACGTTATCCCGGTGAGGAAGCTCTGCTTCACGATTCAAACCTCTTCGAGTTTGTTCAATGGCGCGAGAATTCCGATGGAGATGAAGGATTCTTCCACTGTTTCAGAGATGAGGAACGAATTGCTGGCGAGCAAGACGATCCCCAGAGACGAATATATATTCGTCCACAAGCAACGGATCATGCGTGAAAGCTGCAGCCTGAGGTGGCATGGCGTCGAGAATGGCGACACCCTTTTCGTTTTCAAAGGGTCCATTAGCCGTGGCAACTTCTGATACACCGAGGAACCCGATTTGAATTTCGATCGGTTTCGATACCTATTCCCCCCATTTTGCGACTGTAACACCATTATTTGTCAGCACAGATTGATTGTTTGATCTATTGGTTAGCGAGGAAAACAGAAAGATTCTTGTTCAGATTCCATCTGAAACAATTTTCAGACTTTCTTAGTGACCAGCTTTCTAATCTGAACATGTTTCCTGTCATTTGTGTGTGTATGTATATATATATATATGTATATATGTCATTTATAAAACCTTATTAATTTGCACCCTTTCAATGTTTTTCAAAAAAAAAAAAAAAGGAACACCAAGTCGGCGTCGCTGCTGACCAATGCCCCATTGTTTTTTGGGCCTTCTCAAGTACTATTGGATTCAACTTTAATTGGGCTTTTATGGCCCATTATGCTTTGAATTATGATTGGGCTTTGTTCGTCGGCCCATTATCTGTATTTGGGTCATGGCCGTGATGGCACAACTGATATTTAGATAAAGGACAACATTTTTCCTTCAACGTGAAGATGATGGACTAGGATTTCTTCCCACTTCTTGGAATACTATCAATAGACGTTTTTTTTATAAATAATATGACATAGAGTGAAAAACTTCTCAAGATTCTGATATATATGTATGTAATTTGCAAATTCATGGTTTAGTTATAACTAGTAACTTTGATAGTGTGTATATATGTATATATGAACACACATACTTTATACACACTGGATACTTTAAAGGTTTCATTTTCTTAACTTTTCAAATTTAAATAATTCAATGTTATAAAATAAACCTGAAACATTTTGAATTTTTTTTTTAGAAGAAAAGAGTGACATGGGGAGGTATTCTATAAAGGAGGTAATGTGCGAGAGGGGCATGGGAATAATAAATGGCCTAAGGCATGCAGCCTCTGTGCCTTTGGATCACATTTAATGAAAATCGCGGTGCACATTTACTCTAAAAAAAACGTACACACACACACACCCCATATATATATATATACACAAAAAAAATGACGAATATCAAATTATGATATTAACTGATTTATTACATGCATGCAAATTCTAACTATGCCTTTGTAATTATATATATATATATATATATATATATATATATATAAACGTATACAATAAGATCGACTTTGTTATAGGTAATATAAAACAATGTAGATAGAAAATTCTATCGCACATGTAAATGTCAATGTAAATTTGGATGATTTCAATAAAAGAAATTTCTTTCACCCAACACACAACCCCTCCCCCCATATACATATATATACATACATACATACATTACATACATATATATAGACAACATATACGAGACGCAAACCATTGCTTTCTCGCATAAATTCTTTGTCCATATAGGGTTCCAGTTGAATGCACTACGAGAGGTTTTCAATTCGTTTCAAAATATCGACTTGTAAAAAAAAAAAACACAAACGCACTAATGAAACAGATAAAAAAACTATTTTATCAGGGCTACTTTTTTTTTTTTGTTACAAGGGTTAAAATTTCTGCCTTTATATAAAATATGTATGTGATTATATGAAAACTGTATATAATTATATCTGTGACAAAAAAGGATTTTATTTTTCAACAAAATGTCAAAATATACTATGCATTCTTTTAATTCATTTAATACAAGAAAGCTATGAGCCACTCTTCTTTCCCCTACCGTGGCATAGCCGGAAACCTCATATATAGACAGGGCAACGAACTTAATTGTCATGAAATTCGAATATTTCATTTTACACTGCCAGTGGCATATATATATTATTACATATTTATTTAATTCATTCACCAATAACAGATTCCAAAGTTCAGTAAATGGTTTAATTTGAAGAAGCCATATATATATATATATATATATATATATATATCCATTGTCCCTTCAATTGAATAATATCAAGGCTGCTAAGTGCTAACCTTACAAATCCCCTGTAATATTTGGGAAATATAAGTATATAGTTATATACTCCTCATCAAGCTTAAAAATATAATAGATACATGAATTTCGTCTAATGCATGTATATATATGTATATATGGATATATATATCTCTAATAGTGGTCGTGGGGTTTTTATTTAAGTAATTAAAAGGGTCAGAAAAGCAAAGTCGTTTTGGTTTAAGCATAGAAGGAAATTTTATAATTCAGCTCACGCGCATATATCCATATATAATCATTAGTGCATGCATGAACATGATAGGATGCATATTTCCTTCCTTATTAAACGGGTTTCAATATTATCATTCATCTATTTAAAAGTTAATAAATATACATATATAAATATATGGTTTACTGCCATGTCCATTGATGTCATTTGTGGAAACATAATTTATAGTAAATTATCTTGGCAAATCGGTTACTTATTTTAAATTATTAAAATATTACGTTGCGATTCGTCAATAAGATTTCACATAAATTAATTCGAACAGAAGTAAATATTAAATATTTTGTCTTTAGAAAAATTTATGCGTTTTATATAAATTAAGTGCATTAATTAAACACAAAAGAATGATATTTTTGTGTCCGTTGATTAATTATTGTTCAATTGTAAAGACAAATATATTTTCTACATTGAATACTGAATAGCAAATTTATGTGTTGGTACCGAGATTTGTTAATATGAGACGATTTCTAATCCAATTTTTCTAATTGATGATGATGATAATAATAATGTTAATAATAATAATAATAATAATAATAATAATAATAATAATAATAACAACAATAATAATAATCGGTGCCAATGCTCTTTAATTAGCACAAAAATAAAACCCTAGAAGCCTCTCTCTCTCTCTCTCTCTCTCTCTCTCTCTCTCCTCGATTTACTAATCCTCGAAAGTTATCAACCTGTCTAGTTCACCTTCTCGCAATCATTCTTTCATTTTCTCTCGTTGGGCAGTAGTTCTACAATGGACGATTATCGCAACATTATAGAGGTAATTGTTTGATTTTTTTTCCCCATCAATCCCATATCAGTCTCGTGTAAGATGCAATAGGAGTTTCATAATATTGGTTGGAAAAGATAATAAAAGATTTTAGCCTTTTTATTGACAAATTAGAAAATACAATACATTTTTCCAATATATATATATATATATATATATATACACACACACACACACACACACACAGAGAATTTTAAACTCGATAAATAGGCGTCGTTTTAGGGAAGGTTAAGATTGCTGCAAATATTTTTTATTTAGGCAGCTAATTAATTATTAAATATTTAAAGTTTTACGTTTTTATTCTCTTTTGTTGATAAGAAAAAACTTATCTCTCTTTTATTTTTGACTTTTTATAGATCGGTAAAAATTCGCGCAAAAAAGTAAATAGACACATAAATTAGTAAAAAATAATGTACTGTGTATTAAGATTTATAAATGGGCGTAAAAGCATGCGGTCTGAGTTGATAATTATTAATTATAATATTAATTATGCACTACTTGTATAAATGCAATATGTTAGTGGAAAATCCATATAGGCATGGATAAATCAAATCACAGCAATACTAATAGTATTAATTACAGAAGTCACACTTCGATTTGGAAATCGTATGTACTTGTACTAATTATCACAACAAAATTACAAGAAAGCGATAACAAAAAATTATTTTTCAATTTTATCTTTGTATGAGACGCCTGAAAATCTGACTACTTTTGAAATTGAAAATTTAATTTTAAGTTGAAATTAGATAAGGGAAAAAAGATTAAGATAGATAATCAAGCTTGGTCCATTAGCCGTATTTCTTTGTTCCTCTACAGTATACCCTCCCTATATAATCCCCTTATGATTATGAAATAAAAGATGAAAATTTATCTCTCTCTATATATCTATATATGTATGTATGTATATATATATGTATGTATGTACGTATGTGTGCGTGTGTATGAGCGTGTAGGGCAATTAAGTGGGTCTCTCACACCATTAAATGCAATTGCACCCTCTCAATACTCTTTGCAATTACTCTTCTCTGCCATTTTTCCTCCCCCTGTTCCCTCTTTCTCCTTCCTTTGCTTCTTCGTCATCTTCTTCTCCTTTGATTCATCTCTCTTCTCTCTCTCTCTCTCTAAATTTGCACCTACCCCTTGCAATAAAGCAGTACCAAAAACCGCTTTTCAAAACCATCAGCAGTTTTCCGGGAAAACAAAGCCTAACGCACCTCCTCTCTCTCTCTCTCTCTCCCTCTCTCTCTCTCTCTCTCTCTAGGGCTTCTCGGGCGATTCTCTCCTCCGCGGGCGTACGTTTCTAAACCTTCATAATTTCTTGGAACATGTATCGTGTTCTTCGGTCACCCTCTTATTAAATCTACGTCGTTTTACCTTTTTCTTTTATGTTCGTTGATTCCAAATGAAATTTACGATCAGATTGTTTATGTCAAATTATCCAAAATATTTATTGCCTATCGTCATTTTCTCATTCTGCGACAGAAAATGCTCCTCATTTTCTCACGATCCGGCTCCCTTTTTGTGCTTCTGAATTTCAGTTTTTTTTTTCTTCTGGGAATTTTTTAAAAATCATAATTAATTGTTGTCATGTCTGCAGTGATGGAGATAGAGATAGAGAGATGACGCCGACAAGGAAACGATAGAACCGTATTGGAAGATTAAAGGTTTGGTTCTTCGGACAGACTACCGGAAGGTATATAGCTGCCTTAATTCTTTTCATTTATTCCTTTGCCATACATTTCTCACACGCACACACATATATAAGACTTTGATAATGAAATACAAATGATATGGGCATTACAAAAAAATAAAATAAATACAAATTATGGGGAAAGTCTACATCATATGTATATATCACATTGGTTGTATAATGTCCCAATTTTCGTCTGCAGAATTTTTCTCATTTCGTTTTTTATTTTTTAATAATGCGCAGAAAAAATTGATTGTCTTAGCGCTCTTTGATGATCTCGATCGTATTGTAGATAAGTATTGAAAGAAAAACCTAGAAAATATTTTTTATTTTTATATTTTTTTTTGTTCTAAATCAAAGATTCTTGAAAAAAGAAGATTAAAAGTCTGCAATGTCTTTTTAACTTTTATGTTAATTAAGTACATATTTCAGTTGCTTTGCGAAAATGAATCGGACAGAACTCTGTTCGTCTTCTCTCCTCCGAGTTCTGTAGTATTAAATAAATAAATGATCTCATGTCCCAAACATTGTAGATCAAACTTCACATATATCTTTTCTATGAACGTAAATGTGTGTTCAATTTCTGAAATCTCGATTTCATAGATTTCATCTTGGTCTGGTTAGAGCTGTAGCCTTTCTAGGGTTTTTCCCCACCTTCAAGGTTCACTTTTTTGCAAAGTTGTGTGTGTGATTTTGAGTATTTGAAATTCAATAATAATTTTTTTGGGTTTGGTTTCTTGATTAAATGATTGTGATGGGTTTTGTTTCTTGGTGGGTCCTCTTGAATCCTCTCATCGTCAATTAATTTCTTCCCTCTGTTTTTTTTTTAATCTTTTTCTGTAACCTTTGAGATCTTCAAGAAGAAGGAGAAAAAAAAGTGGTTGACTCTTGCATAAGTTTTGCCATAATTTAGTCACAGTGGGACTAAGTTTTTCCATTCTTGGAAAAATCCTTCTCGATTCTTGTACCCGATGAACAGTAAGATAACCCCAAAAAGCCCCTTTTTACAAACCCTAGATTCTTGATTACTTTCCCCTCGGAATTTCTTTTCTTTTCGTTTTTATCAATGTGACGCTCACGTTTCACAGAAAGTTCTTCTCTCAGATCCAAAAGAGCTGCAGGCGGAGAAAATGTTTCAGCCAAACATGTTGCTTGCGGACATGAACAATGCGGAGAACGACAACGACGACGACAACAACAACAACAACATCATGAACAGTGACAACAACATCATCATCAATGGCGGTATTCTTAGGGACGACGAGTTCGACAGTGCCAACACTAAATCGGGAAGCGAAAATCAAGAAGGAGGGTCGGGAAACGATCAAGATCCTCGTCCGAGTAAGAAGAAACGATATCATCGCCACACCCAGCATCAGATCCAGGAAATGGAAGCGTAATTCAATATTCAAAAAATCTCTCCTTTTTCCAGTTTTTCTTCTATTTTCCCACTTTTTCTATGCCTATTTTTTGAGCTTACTAGCATAATGAAGGCCTTATGATCGAATTTTCGACATTTTTGTGAAAAATAAAGAAGATGTTTTCCATGTTTTGACATTATGTTTTGGTTATTAATGTTCGTAACAGTTTCTTCAAAGAATGTCCACACCCAGATGACAAGCAGCGGAAGCAACTGAGCCGAGAATTGGGTTTGGAGCCTCTCCAGGTCAAATTTTGGTTCCAGAACAAACGCACGCAAATGAAGGTATTTGTATATACATACATACATGTATATAGGCACATATGTATGTATATACATAAGTATAGGCATATATAGGCACATATGTATGTTATTACAGATATATAGGCATGCGTGTGTGTATGTGTGAGTGCATGTGTTTGTATGTGTCTGTTTTTTTATGAATGCGTTGTGGGTCGAGTGTGTATGTACATCTGTATACATTCATTATATTTATGTAGGAATCCAAAGTGATGAATATACTTAGATGTAATAATGTGTCAAGGAGTGCCTTGCTGATACAATGTTGGGTGGTCATATATGTGTGTGTATATATATATATATCTTTCAATCTTCGGATAGCTTTGTCGGAATGATTAAGATTTGATTCTGACAAAAGTAAATCCAAGTATTTTCCATTAATTTTTAAAAAATAAATGCAAAATTTAATAATTAATGACAAATGATTTCATTGTAAGAGTCCTAATTTTCTGATATATACATCACTCATATGGCTGACAAACGTCTAATTCTAATATATATATATATATATATATATATA